TGGTGCTAGATAAAGGTCAATGGAACTCCAGAAGAGTTGGACTTAGTTCATTTGTGGCTATGTAGAGATTCTAGGCTGATTCTTCTTTGGACTTAGCCCCTTCTTCTACTACAATAACCCATTGCACTATATTGGATTGAGAAAGCATGGCCAGTACAGAGTCACTCAGTGTACTTCAATCACTGAGGGTGGACGTGAACCTGCTTTTCACTTATCCTAGTTCCAAAACGTTAGCTCCCATGCTGCACTACCAAATTATGTTTTAGTGAATGTATATCACTGCATACTGTGAAACACCCATGCCATTTTTGGAAGTTTCTAAGGGGCTACAGCAAATTCAATACAAATGGAAATTCATCGTACAATTGTTATGCATCGTGTAGTATATTTTGATCACTTTATTTTTAAGTGTGCAATGATGCTGCTTCAGGAAGGCAATATCACCCACAAATCTTAGCACTGTGTGTTTATTATTTAAAAGGGACTGTTTCATATGACATTGACTTGGAAGGCAGAGAAATGCTGTATAATTAATTTTGGCATGAATCTGTCCCCTGAGATTTATGTGAACATTGTTCACCAAAGATTTTATCATTATTCTTTATAACATTAAATTTGAAAAGAGTATTATGTACATGCATAAATGTATATGTATTTGCATTCCTTGCCCCATCTTAAAATTACTATGTATGAAGTTTGAAATAAAATTTGCTTTGTTTTCTTTAAACCAAGTTTAAGTTCAACTTTAATCTGTAAATCAATTATACATATTGGATGGGATGTATATCCAGCAGGCATACAATAATTGATCCTATGAGTTCTCCTAGGCAAGCTTCAAGATGTGATGAAGCACAACTTAGTCTTTCTGGATATCACTGTGTGACATGCGATTGCTATATACAGCATACAGAAATCCACATTCTTTTTAGGGTGCTGCAGTTTTTTGATGAAGTGTGCTATAGCAGTGTTAAGTTTGATGTTGCCAGTTTGCTGTCAAGCTAAGATTAAACTACGTATTCTGCCATATGAAGGTCTGTATGGTTTAGACCTTCCTATCTGACAACTGTTTTCTCTTTTTACATCTGTATCTAGAAGGTAAAGATTTAGCAGAACTGCCCTCTTGAAGATGTTGCACTTGCAAGGGATTCATTGAAAAACAACCGAAAACAGCCAATTCTGAGCCATAGGTTTCTCAACTGTGAAATTCCCTCCCTCTTTAATTACAATTGAGACTGATCTGAAGATGTGTCTGCTTAACTGGATCTTTGGATTAATTTGTGGTGTGGTGCTTCTTGTTTACTCGGGATGTTCTAATAGTTCTGTCCTATGCAATCACTTTTAAAGCTGCTCTTTCTTTAATTTAATTGTCAAATGGTTTGATTGTGTTTGTTGGATTTGTTTTGTACCCCTTGCATCAGATTTGTCTTTTTAATACGTACATTGCTTTGTTGATATGTTCTATATAGAAGTAAGCACATTTTATTGGGTGATGTTTATGGGCAAAACATTAATTTTATGATAGTGTTTATAGCTTTAATGCCAAAGTCTTCAGATTTAGTTGCTGACCCTCCTTTAATTTAATTTAAAGAATCTTATGTTGTGAGAAGGATTTCTAACTGAAGCTGTTGTTGGCTGCTACTCAGATGATACAAGACAATGTGGACAAATTGTCTGACCTTGTATAAAACAAATTCTTATGTCCCAGAAACTAACTGGATTTTCTCAGGCATCATAGTTAAGGTATTTATCTCACAAGAGCTCCTGTCATAGACTCTGGGTGGCTCATCACAGTTAGTAAAAAAACCAGCATAAAAACAGAATTGTAAAATAATTGTGCTCCTGGGATGGATAAAAAACCAAAGTAAAATCTTCTCTTCTTAGTTTATATTGAGACATCATTGACCTCTTGGCAACAGTATGAACGCATTAGATATTTCCTTCTTTTGGGATTTTTTAAAAAAAACTTAACTGCCTAAATTCATTTGATGAAAATCTTTTTGCATACAGTAACACCTACCTAATTAATCTATATTTATACTACTAAAATCCTTGCTATGTTTATCTGTTTGTAGTCTCAAGTTAGCCCAAATGGTGCTAATACCACGACAATCTTTGGATCAAGGTACCTAAAATCTGCTACTTTAAAAATGTATAAAAATCCAGGATCCATTACTCTTGTGTAATTGAAATTTCCATGATGGTCACACCAGTTTTATTCACAAAGCATCATTCCCACCGCATCCCCACTTCCTGATCGTAATTTCCGATGCTCCTCACCAGCTTCCCAGAAACAAAGTAAATGGGGAAGCTAGCAGGAAGTCAGAAGCTGCTACTGCTCCTATTGCGTTTTTGCCTGCCCGTGGTCATTCTGTTTATCTGTTTAGGTAAATAAATATTGACATTATTGAAGTTCATTTGCCACTATATTTATTTTTCTATATATGATATATAACCTTCTTAGTTGATTACAAGACTGTTCAGCAAAATATGGCCAGCCTACAATTTAGTGTTCATTCTGGTCATATCAGATTGTACTATCTGTCAAAAGATGACCCAATGGCTTACAGTGTTGTCTGCTTAATAAGGTTAATAGTATACTTAAGGGTAAAAACTTAGAGCTTGAGTAGTAGCTTTAGTTAAAAAGCTACATGAGCATTCTACCTCTTTCTTCCAGTAATAAATCAAAACAATGGAGGATAAGATGTTTCTGTTATGTTCAGCATGAGCAAGATTGATAAGAGAATAACAGTACTATATGCCTGTGGGCAAAATATTGTCTTGTGGGTTATGTCATGCTGCATAGTGGACATAGCTTTTCCCTCCCATATTTGGTTGCTGAGACTCCCTCTCTAAACTAAGATGGATGCCACACTCTAATGAATAATAGGCCTGATTTATTAATAGATATTTTCACTGAAATGGTCCACCCTAGTTGTTTATTAGATTTGTAACACATTTACTCAATCAAACAAATACTTTTAATAAACAAATTTAATAAGCAAATTCCTATTAATACACCAAACTATTATTATTCATTAAAGTATGGCATTCATCTTAGTTTAGAGAGGGAGTCTCTAAATAAGTAATATGATCTATTATGAGAAGCCATTTCATGTTTTGGTTCTGATTTGTCTTCTGGCCACTTGTTTAAAAATAGAGAAGAATAGTAAAATTAATTTTATGCATATTTTCATTGCAAAAGCTGTAGGATAGGCCTAAGGAGAATTTTCCCCCAAAGTTCCTGAAAAACAGATGAATGACATTGATAAGCAGTCTGCTATTAATTTTCACTGACAGACTAAAAATAGCTAAAACCAACAGGCCCATTGGTTTAGGTCAGGCATGTCAAACTGCCGGCCCACGGGCCGGATGCGTTATGCCAAAACCGCACCCACCCCATTGCCAGCAATGGGGAAAAAGTCACGACACATCGCGCAATGTCACGTGATGTCGCGAGTTTGACATGCCTGGTTTAGATGATTTAAAAGAAATTAATAAATAAGAAATACATGCTGGGGAAGTCTTTTAATGGATACAAGTCATGATAATTATACATTATATAAAGCTAGCTTTGCTCTAAATGTCACTTGATTTGGAATTCAAAGGATGAGAGTTATTTTCATATGGGTGTACTTTAGGAATTCCTCTAATATCTTGAGAGCTGTTAGGATGGGGGACTGTGGTGGTTCATGAAGTTAGGATGCTGGGCTGTCAATCAGCAGGCTAGCGTTCAAGACCCAGTAGTTGCTGCAGGAGGGGGTGAGCTCCTGTCATATGCTCCAGCTAGCAGTTCAAAATTGGATGACCGCGAGTATATAAATGTTTACCACTTTGGTGAGCAATTTAATGGGGACAAGGAAGGTGCATCCAACTGGCATCCCCTAGGCAACGATGGTGTCAATGTTCAATTCTTTCAACCTGGAAGCACTTTGGTGTTCCCAAGTAACTGTAGTAATTTGTTATGATGATGTAATGGAATGTGTGGGTGATCTTGGGAAATGAGAGGAAGAGATGCTGCTAGGAAACAGACAAGAGCAGAAGGAACCCCCAGTGGCGTAACATCCAGAGAAAGAAACTTAGGAAGGACCCGCCCTGGTCAGGTTGTAAGGTTGTACTTTCAGACTTGCAAGATTCAGTTAATGTAGCCTTACAGTAAAGCAGAATTTGTTCATCTAATCATATTTCCTGTCTAATTTACCTGGGAGGGCTGATAGGTGAATATTGATGTGGAATTAATTAATAAAGGCCTTTAATCTGATCCAACCAAGTTACAATTATAGGAAGTAACTGTAGCTCAGATCAAAATAGTGAGAGAGTTCCTTCTTTTGATGGAAATTCTGCTGACATTTCAGATTATAGTTATAATACATTATCAGTTGAACCTAGCAAGTAAATAATGGCCAAAGATTCAGTCAATTAATAGAAAAAACTCCAGTTTTAAGGAAGTTTCAGCTTCTACCCATTCAGTGTAAGCCAGTGTGTAAAATAAAAACAAAGTGTGTGTGTTGTGCTGAAAATAGTAGGAGAAAGAAGTACAGGTAATCCTTTACAACCACAACTGAGCTCTAAATTCTGCTGTTAAACAAGGCTTCTGTTAACTGAGTTATGCTTCAATTTACATCCTTTTTTGCCACAGTTGTTGAACAAATGACTGCAGTTGTTAAGTGACTCATGTGGTTGTTAAGCAAGTCTGGCTGCCCCTGTTGACTTTGCTTGTAGTGTCAAACTTGCAATGTCACATGACATGTCGTGATGTATCACGACTTTTTTCCCATTGCCGGCAATGGGGTGGGCTCAGTTTTGCCATGACAAATCTGACCCACGGACCGGCAATTTGACACTCCCGTATTAGATATTTGTCTTGTCATAAAGTAATAAAGGTAGAAGAAGAAAAGAATCTAAAATAATACCTGTAGCTGGTATTTGTGAAGTGATGCCAAAGGAAGATTTTGCCTATCTCTGAGCTAACTACCTTTCATTCTTTTTACATTGTGTTTCAGAGATGGTGAGCAAAGTTTAAGTAGATCAATGGTCAATAGTTCCGATAAAATAAGCCGGAAGAGTGGCTCTTCAGTGTTCCAGCATTCTGTAGAAAGATGGAAAATCAATTCCTCCTTGGTGTTGGAAATAAGGTTAGTATCCTAAATAATATAGCTTGCAACTTTGATGAGACTGGGAAACCTTTTTTATTTAGCCTTGTGCATTGTGTTGGATAATTCTAGAAGATGAATAATCAAAAAGTCACAAAGCAACTTTGACAGAATGCTAGATGTTAAACTGAAATAGCCTCTCTGCCTTTTGGCTATGAGCAAGGGTAGTATGTGTTTAATGTGTGCATACATTTAATATTTCAGAGTTGATGAAATAGAAATATGAAAGTAAATAATACTGATAATGTTTTGATTCTTAGCTAGAATTTAAATAACTACATTCAAAACAGGACATATACTATTAATATTTGTTGCTCATCAACTTTTTAGGAGCCTCTAGTAGCCACTGTTGAAGATTAACCTTTTTTCTTTTGGATAAGTCTTTGCACTGTCCTTGCAAAGCACTTCTTTTCAGAAGTTTCAGAAGTCAAAAAGTATACTTTCTTTCTACTATACCACTCTTGTTATGTTAACTACATGATCCCAAGCTGTTCCTCTTAATTGTCATCAGGAAAACAGTAAAAAGCGGAAGGTATAGTTGAAACTACAGATGTCTCTATAGTTGTGTATTCAAGGGACCCAAACTGTTGTGAAGATGGGGAGAAAAATGTCTTTAGAAATAGTCAAGATCACAGCTAATGCCGTATTTGATGATTTGGGGTAAAAGGTTACCTTCTGCTAAACTACGAAGGAACAGAATATTTTATTAGAGGTATCTAAAAATTACTTGTCTGGTGTCCCATAACAGGATAGAATTTATTTCAGGGGACTTCAAACTTGGCCCTTTTATGACTTGTGGACTTCAACTCCTAGAATTCCTCAGCCAGGCATGCTGGCTGAGGAATTCTTGGAGTTGAAGTCCACAAGTCATAAAAGGGCCAAGTTTGAAGTCCCCTGAAATAAATTCTATCCTGTTATGGGATGCTACTATATAAGGACCTATCAATTGCTGATCTGAATATCCTGAGCAATGAGTGAATAGTATATAGCGTCCATAAAAATTAGTGCAGGTAGAGAACTAGATGATATGGTGAGATCTCTGGATATGCCATCAAATGTAGTTGCATCACCTTCCTCTCCCAAATTAAAATGCCTTGTCTTGAGATTGAGAACATGGATTAAACAGTCATAGCATACTTGAACAATCTCTACAAAATAACAGCAGCTAGTAGGGGATGTGTATAACTTTGATAATCAAAGTGAAGTACCAAGATTTGAAAGAATCACCTCCTTGTAGCTGCTTCACAAAGCAATATGATCACTTTCTTCTAAAAAAAAATATGTTGCTTTATCTTGTTTAGAGCCCCTTGCAGCCTGTTCTTGTGGAACTCATGCAACTCATGCAATGAAAGTAGGCTGAGAGCTACCTTTTTGAGAGAAATCCTCCAGGTGAAAGCCGAGAGAAGCCTTCCCCTGCAGTGCTGGTGAAATTGATTTCAGGCTGGGCAGGTTAAGGACACAATGCTGGCATTCCCTTATTGAGCTCTGGAGCTTTTTGGCCTAGAGAGTATCCTTGGGCCACTTGCCAGAAGCTTTGGTGAGACTGCAGAGGAGATACTACTTATCTCCTTCAGGCATTGCTGCAGAGAAACTGCTACTCAGCTTTGATCAGCATAGGAGGGAAGGGGAAAGAACATGTTTTACACAGTGTTTTAGAAAGGTCAAAACAATTTGGAGGGTGTGTTGCTTTTGTGAGCATCATAGAGAAGGCACTGCTTTTCCACACCAGCTTGGTTTAGATATGAAGTATTTTCTAGGCTGGATTGTTTCATTGAGTGCCTCTGAATCACCCATCTTGGAGATTCTTTGATGGGTGCTAGGACAAAACTCTGAAAAGAAATCATCCAAATTGGTTTGATGAAGTGAATTATGCTGTCTCTAGGCTTCAGATAAGTGAAATCACATTGCTTTCATGGTATTAATCATAAAAGTAAAATGTATCTTGATTCCTTTTGGAGATTTTTGGGTTGGTGGGAAGCAGAAGGATGCAGGCCAAAATTGGTGAAAGATGAAAAAAGTAGAAGTCTTATATCTATATATAAAAGTACGTATGGCTATTTCTCCATTACTATGCTTAAATTGTATGATTCTTTTCTTTTAATTTAATTTAATTTTTTTTAATTTCAGCATTGTTAAATCATTTGATGAATTTTTTTTAAAATCACATAAAATTGAAACATTGAATTGAAATATGTTTATAACTAATATATTTAATAAGCTGCTTTTTGTTTTTAATTTTTTGTTAAACCTTATGAAACCCCAATCTTAACCTTTTTTAAACTAAATTCTCAAAGCATATTCTGTGGAATGACATATGGCGATTTCAGTGGAACATTATCACTATATTTGAATATAAACCTGCACATGTTCTTTCTACACACACACACAAAGACACATTTTTAAAACATATCGACCAGAATGTTATTTTGTTAAAAGTCCTATTTTGTTTTCAGTTGAATAACCACAAAGGCTCTCACACGATTAGTAGAGGTGGAGATTTCCTTTTGTTCTGAAAAAAGGAAACAGCAAAAAGTCTTAAAGCTAAGTTGAAAAGCATGTGTGCAGTTTGTGGTTTTCTGGCACTGCAGGTTCAATTGTGAGATAGGTAACATTTGTAACCGATATATAGAACTGCGCCAAGACTTATTTTTCATTTGTTAATAGCAAATGTGGTATATACAGTGGAATAACTGTTAGCCACAAAAATCCAAACAAGTAGAGAGAGGAATCCTTAAAACTATTTTCTTCCATCTAGAAGTGAGCAGAAAGAGAGAGCGACAGACATCTTGAATAATTCACCAAAGTCCCAATATTTTTTAATTGTCTAGCACTCTGCAAACTCTGGCTGTTATTCTCTTTCCATGACTTTGCTCTTGGGAATAATCTGTCCAGAGCCCTTACCCTAACTCTCAAAATATGTTCTCTGTGTATTCTCAAAATTGTTTTTGTTTGATTTTGCAAATCATTTCTTCACCGCAGGACTCCTGACAAAGTAATTCTAGACCATGTGAGGAAAATACTGTCCTACCATTTTTTTTCAAGTAGAAAATGATGCAAACACTGGCAAACACTGATTGATGTTTACAGACATAGACACCTGTTTCCATCCTATCCGGGCATCTAGTGACTGAGCTGAGGTAGAAAAATGAGGAAATATGCAAGATGGTACAATTATGTACATATTGTCCCTTGTGAAAGTGAGGTATTTCTGTGGTTATGCCATTGTACAATAACATTATTTTGGAATCGTACGTTATGGATGCTACAAATGTATCTCCCCCTCTAATCATAAAGAAGCTCAGTCTCTTCAATGGCATTGTGCTACTCTACTTAGTGTGGATTTCGGCAACCCAAAGAAGTGTGTGTGTGTGTGTGTGTGTGTAAGATCAATGGGTAGAACCTTATCTTAGCAACTGGTATCAAAATGGATTTGGGGAATTGTAGGAGTTGTCTGACCTTAGGTTTTCACTTGCACATGTTTCATGACCTGCCTAGGTAACAACACCTGTGCTGTGAATTTGGGAAGTGAGGTATGGTTAGTTGTGGCATATATAGGTGCCTACTTAATTAAGCCTTCAAACCTGAGCTACATATATTGTCTATCATTGCAATTATGCAAGAATATAGAATAACAAAATTTTAATGGTGGTCTTACTCATCCTTTAAATGCCATTTGAATCTGCATTGAGTTTGTAGTATCACAGGGAGCTGCTCGTTTGAAGAAAATAGCTTGTTGTTAGGTGATGCAGGACACATTTTCTTAATTCCCATTTTAGCCAGACTTTCCTTTCTTTGATGTGAAAAAGAGAATGTAACTTTTTAAGTTCCAAAACCAAAAAGTACATAGTAATTTAACATTAGGGAAAAAAAATAAGCCCACCTCTGTAACAGTCTATACATTTTACACATTTTTCTGTTTATAATAATTAGTTTCCAGGCATGGCCAGGATCATTGTGAAAATAATATTAGATTCACATTTCCATGCTAAGCAGTGGTTTAACCAATGGATTGTTCGATGTGCAATGTAATTCAGTTGTAGCAATATTGTAAATCATTTTATGTATTGTCTCATGTTAACTATTAAAGGCTATTTTTATACAAATTAGCCCAAGATCAGTTAAACCATCAGCCTCAGCTTTAAAAAGACGGGTCCAGAAAGAAAAGAGTTCACATATTTATTATCTGTGATTTGTTCTATTTAATGAAGTGATTTCATTTGTTAGAAAAATGATAAGTAAAGTCTCTAAAAAGTGAAGTCTTTCCTTACAAAGATGTCTCATAAGATAAATAAAGTAAAGAGGAGTTAGTTATAACAGTAGCCATTTGTTTGGTGAAATCAATAACTCCTAGGAGAATATAAACACAAATCTTTCATCTTCATTCCTCACGATAATTTAATTGCAAATGTGGAATGTGTGAACTTTTTTAAAAGCGGGTTTTGTGAAGATTTGTTTGGACCATCTGTCTTCTTGACACTCAGAGATTTGAACCTAACTACTGAGCTACGTCATTTGCATTTTTAAAGTGAGAAATCGATTTTTTAAAAAAACTAAGTTCATATTAAGTTATGTATCAATCACTCAATCACAGTCATTATGTCTTTTTAAAAGTAAGAAGCTTGAGGGATATTTTTTAAAAAATGGAATGATTTTTTTCTTATTGATAAAATGGTTAAATTGAGTAAAGAAAGTTGAATGCAAGCTGTTCAAAATCGCCGTGTCTCAGATTCTCAACTGGATATCATTATGCCCAGTGATACTTGGCTTATTTATTGCTAGGCCTTCCCTGATTTTAAAATAATAATAACAGGAATAATAATGATGATACAATACCATGAAACAAAAATATTTGCCTATCCCAAGTCCTTGGGAAGAAGCACTCAGTGGGTGGAAAAAATGCAAATACAGCCTAAACAGCTGGCTGACTGTGTGACCAACTGTAATGATAGGAAGCTACCATCTTTACTTCCCAAAATGCTTCT